GTGTTTTTTTACCATATTTCTGAATCCAATTCCTTCATTCTGACTCAATTACTTTCTTCCCAAAGTGTCTCCTTTTGTTCTTTTTTTCTGAGAATGTCCTCATTTTCCCCTCCATCTTGACTAAGTGATGAGTTAGTAGTAGGTATGGAATCATCACTTTAATCTCTTTCAAGGTATTTTAATAAGGCAGGAGCTCATTGGTTGAGCTGTATATCCTATAAGGAAACAAGGAGGGAGGGACCAGAAAGTGGACAGAGGAGTCAGAATGTAGATAAAGCATCTTATGCACCCTAGTTTGCATAATGAAATTGGATTGGTCAGCCTGCAAACCTTGGGATCATCTTACAAAACATCTAAGGGGGGGGGGTGTGATCTTATTGGTCATTCGACAGTGACCCCCACACCTTCATGTGCATATGCAGTCTGGCTGTTCCAATCAGATGCACTCAGAGGGAATAGCCAATCAGGTAACAGAAACAATTAAGGGGCAGGTGGAAGAAAAGAAGCAGCAAGTGGTTTGCTGTGGCATGGATGAAGAGAAAAGCTGTAAGCAATGAGTAGCACTGTAGCACTGTCCTCCCGTTATTCATCTATTTGCTCTAACGGGCCTGGTAACGTCTAACTGGTAACGTCTAACAGGCCTGGTAACGTCTCCATTGTGAGACTTGTTGTTACTGTGTTTGGCATATCGAATATGCAGGCGAGATACTCTCGGTAGCTTGCCGGGCTCTCCAAGAGGGGCAGAGGAATTGAACCCAGGTCGGCTGGGTCAGCCGCATGCAAGGCAAACGCCCTACCCGCTGTGCTATCGCTCCAGCCCAAGCAGTGAGTAGTGGACGTTAAACAGTGGTAAGAAGAAATGGAACAGCCATTCGGGTTGCTGTCCAGAAAGTGGAATTTACTCATTCTGTAAGTATTGCAGCCTGCAGACATGTAACCACATGAGCTGTTAAAGAAAGAGCCAGTTAAATAGCTTCTGTAAAAAAGGAGCTCTCTGCTGGAGGTCATGGTAACCTTACACACTGTTCACAGGAACGCAGAGCCGGTCACTACCCACCGCAGCAATCCCACCACCAAGAATACCCCTCTACCCATTGTACCCACTTCCAGCACCGTCACACCACCCCAGCACTTCTGGTAACCACTGAGTCTTGTAGCTAAGATTGTTGGCTTTTTTGGCCAGTTCATTTCCTTCGGTCATAGTCTACATGAGTGAGAGAGTGAGTGAGTGAGACCATCTGGCAACTTCCTGGTTTATTTCATTGAATCGCCTGACTTTATTCATCCATGTCCCAAAATACACAGCCTCAATTCAGAATTGCAGTTATATTCTCTAGGGTATGTGGAGCCCAGTTTCTTTATTCAGTCATCTGTGGATGGGAATTTTCATTGCGATCAGGTTCTGATCATTATGAATATAACTCATTACCACAGAGGTACAATATAGATGTGAATCTTTAAGTTTATCCAATTTCAGATTCACTTCACTCTTTAAGGATTCGGCCGGAGCGCTAGCACAGTGGTAGGGCATTTGCCTTGCACGCGGCCAGCCCGTCTGAGCCAGGTTCGATTCCTCCGCCCCTCTCGGAGAGCCTGGCAAGCTACCGAGAGTACCTTGCCCGCACGGCAAAGCCTGACAAGCTACCCATGATGTATTCGATATGCCAAACACAGTAACAGCAAGTGTCACAATGGAGACGTTACTGGGCCTGCTCGAGCAAATCGATGAACAACGGGAGGACAGTGATAGACAGTGACTTTAAGGATTCACATCTTAATTCTGGAAAAACAATTGAACCTTGGGCTAGAGAGTACAGTTAGTAGGGCTTTTGCCTTATATGCAACAGACCTGAATTTTATCCCTTGCACCCCATGTGGTACCCTAAGCCCCGCCAAGAGTTAATCCTGAGCACAGAGCCAGAAGAACTTGCAGATATGCCCTCACCCCTATCTCCCCCCCCAATTTTTTTTATCTTTCTGGGTCACACCCGGCGATGCTCAGGGTTACTTCTGGCTCATGCACTCAGGGATTGCTTCTGGCGGTGCTCAGGGGACCAATATGGGGTGCTGGGAATCGAACCTGTGTAGGTCATGTTGGCTGCGTGCAAGGCAAATGCCCTACCCGCTGTGCTATCACTCCAGCCCCTATCCCCCAAAATTTAATCTCACTTCAAGTATTCCCTTTTTCTCTTTCTAATATTTTTCTTTTTTTCTCTTTTTTGGCTTTTTGGGTCACACACTCAAGGGTTACTCCTGGCTCTGCACTCAGGGATTACTCCTGGCAGTGCATGGGGGGACCATATGGGATGTCAGGGAGCGAACCCTGGTCGGCCATGTGTAAGGCAAATGCTCTCCCTGATGTAATATTGCTTCAACCCACAAGTATTTCCTTTTTCATAACCTATTTCTATCCCATTGGGAAGCCTCAAGACATGCATACACAGCGCCTGTCATTCTACACTCCTGGCCCCACACATCTCTCTCGCCTATTTTCAGTCTCTTGATCCCCCACCCCCAGGGGTTGAGGCAGTGTCTTCAAATTTATCCTGTTCAAATTTAACTCTCTCATCAGCTCTGTTTTTTCAGTCATCTAATCCTACCGCAGAGTCATCAAAATCAAACACTGCATTGTTCATTGACATTATTAGGTGTCTGCGGGAAAGCAAAGTCACTGCCAGAGGCCCCTGTGTGCTGGTAAGGGAAGATGAAGGGCCCCAGAGACAACTCAGCAGTCTTGGGGGTGAGGGGCACAGGCCCAGCGTCTCTCATTACTCCCATGCACCACAGGGAAAGACCCCAAAATCCTGAGCCAGGTGTGGCCCCCAAACAAAACAAGAAACAGATGCTGGAAAACAGTTGCTGTGTTTCTTGAACCTATGCAGTTTTACTTCCTAAAGAACTTCGTCAGGGCGGGAGTGATAGTACAGTGGGTAAGATGTTTGCCTTGTCCATGGCTGACTTGCATTCATTCTCTGTGGTCCCCTGATCCCTGCCAGGAGTGACTCCTGAGTGCATACCCAGGAGGAAGCCCTGAGCACTGCCAGGTGTGGCCCTAAAACAAACAAAAACCCAACACAATTCTCTTCTGAAAATCCTTTCAGGATATCATTGCGTGTCCCTGGGTTAGCAGCGGCCTCTAATTTGGGGACTCTCAATAGCAGATAGTTTTGCCCCCCAGAGGACATTTGGAGACATTTGGGGGTTTCAGCTAGAGGGAGAGTGCAGTGTCAAGTCTAGTGTGCTCTGGAGGCTTCTGAGCATCCAGGAGTGCCAAGGAAAGAACCTGGGTCAACTGCATGCAAGGCCAAGAGCCCTACATGGATTTTTGCTCCAGTTGATGTTCTAAAGCTGACTTTGCTCCGAGATAGTGTTTCTGCAATAAAATTCTTCTCTTTCAGATATTAACCTGCTGCTAGCCATCTCTCTCGTCCTCTTCCTTCTCAAGTTCCTTTTTCTTTCTCTCTCCCTTTGTCCCTTCTCTCCTCTCCTCTTGCTTCGCCTCCCCTCCTGTTCTCTCTCCCCCCACTGGCAGTGCTCAGGAGTCCCTTTCACTATGCTCACGTGCCCATCAAATGGGCACGTGAGCATAGTGGGGGACCATGTGCCCACTTGGGGGACTCAGCCCATTGCCCGAATGTGCTCCCAGAGATTAAACTGGGCCCCCACAAGCAACCTCTAGACCTCTGCCCTTCTTCATACTTCCTGAAAGGAAAATTACTTAGTCTAGATTAGATTTTGTCAAAAATGCTTTGATTTCTAACAAGTTTTACCATCACTCACACATGGTAATGAAATTATCTTAGTGATAGGTGCTCACAAGTACTCCATATCGTTTCAACTGTTAAAATCAATCTTCAGGGGCTGGAGTGATAGCACAGCAGGTAGGGCGTTTGCCTTGCACACGGCCAACCCGGGTTCGATTCCCAGCATCCCATATGGTCCCCCAGGCACCTCCAGGGGTCATTCCTGAGTGCAGAGCCAGGAGTGATCCCTGAGCGTCGCCAGGTGTGACCCAAAAAGCAAAAAAAAAATCAATCTTCAATTTTCATTTAAGAGGACATTTTTTTCTTCATTTCATGAAGGGACAGGATAATCTGGAGTTTAAACCCTTCTGAGAAACACACAATCGCACAGGACAACATGAGCTAGGGATGTCATGCAGTGGTAGAAGCTTGCATGCGTGAGGCTCTGGGTTTGATCCCCCAGCACTGTAGAAACAAGTTTTAAAAAATGATTTGAAATGAGAAAAATGAATTTAAAGCAGAGGAAGAAAGAGGCACTGAAGTTAGTACGGCAGGTTTGTGATAACTGCTGAGCCTTCCAGCAATGGATGTGGGGAGATTTTTTTTTATGCACTTCTACTTTTGCAGATTTGGGGAAACTTTATATGCTGGGGAAATGTTGTTAGCATGACCTACGAAATGAGGTCTGGTCTGTGGGTTTTTTTTTTTTTTGGTGGGAGGGGGTGGTTAGCAGAATAGCTAAGTCATTGAGAAGAAGCTTTGTCCCCTCCCAGAAATTAAGTTCCATACTTTCAGTTTACAGTTTTCATGGTTTACCCAACAGTAATTATTAATTATTTTGGGAGGGGCATATTGGGGGTCACATCTGGTAGTCCTCAGGGCTTTTCCTTGCACACACTTGGGGATCGCCCCTAGTGGGGCTTGAAGAACCAAATCCAGGTCGGCCGCATGTGTGACAAACACCTTAAGTCTTGGACTGTCTCTGCAGCCCCCATCAAATAATACTTAAAACTCCGGATCCATTAAGACCCACAGACACCTAGACTAATTTCTTTTTTTTTAATTAACCTTCTTTCATTCCACCCATTAAAGAAGTGCAACAGGAAGAAATGGTCGGTTGCTCCCTACTCAATACTCCCTGGAGTGGTCTCATGTTCTGGCCAGTGTGGTGATCATCCTCCCCAGAAGGCTCAGGGCACCTTATATATGCCACCAATCATGTCACACTTCTCTGGGGAAAGGCTGCAGGTGATTCCCTCAGGGGATTTTTTGTAAAACAGAAAGCAAACCACTCAGCAACATCATGAAGGCTGCCACGGACGCTATCAAAACCGCATTGCCGAGTTCCTGTGAGTTGGGCCTGGTGGGCATTAAAAACGATGGCGGGAAGAGAATGCCCTCCTCGCTGTTTACGGCTTGATGAGTGTAGATGACAGACAGGGCCAGACAGATGCTCGTGAAGGTGGAAAAAAACCCGGACATCAGAAAATAATTCTTCGTGTTGGTTGTCTTCCCCATGAACACATTCCTCAGAGCCATGGTGAGGGAGACCTTTCCCAGGAGCCCCACCAAGTTGCCAAGGAGCAGGAGGTACTGGACACTGTGAAGGGGAGGAGGAAGGTAACTGTCGAAGAAGGGATAGCGCTGGCAGAAAGGTGAGACGTGGGTGCGTGGCACTTGGTAGATGCAGACTTTCCACATGCCCACCAGGGCCAGGCCTTGGGGATTGTTCATGTGCCATATCCGCCACTCGGCAAAGCCCATGGCCGTGGTGCACATGATCCAGCCGACAGTCAGCAGAGCAAAGCTGGCCACATGCAGGGTGCCGTGGTGCATCCGCGAGACCTGCATTCCGGGAGTATTTCTGGACCTGCAAGAGAGTGTGAGTTCCGGCACAGGGTTGGGGCGGGGCCAGATTGGGCGTGGAACATCCAAGTCATGGGCCTGCAGAGACACTGGACCCTCACCCTCTGTCACGGGCATCTCATCCCTAACAACATAGCCAAGAGCCAGGGACAACAGTTACCCCCAAGCCTCCACCCACACCAACCCTCCACACAGTGGGCTACACTTCAGGGCACTGGGCCAAAGGCACCATATTGGTGTCCTCATGAGGTCACGTGCTGAAGCTGGACCTCGTGGCCTCTGTGTAATACTAAAACTGTTGGCGTTAGTCTTGACAGCCCAAACAAGGGACTAGGCTGACCATTTGTTGAACACAATTTTTGCTCCCTCACTCTGGTTCCCTGACTCCAGATACATGAGCCACCATTTATGTTAGCAGATATATTAAAGGTAACGGGTATATTAAGAGTAAAGGCTGGGATATTTACATAGTTTTGCCCATAAGGTTTTTTGCTTGCCAAAAAAAAAGAGATTCTCACAGCTTTCTTTTTCTATCTTTGAGGTTTCTTTGGGTCTTGTGCTTGATCTCTGTTTTTGCAAACCTTATAAGACACCTCAACTAAATGAGAATTTACCAAGCCAAGAACACCATCTTTCTGTTTTGTTGTGTTTGCTTTTTGGGTCACACCCAGCGATGCTCAGGCGTTACTCCTGGCTCTGCACTCAGGAATTACTCCTGGCGGTGCTTGGGGGACCATATGAGATGCCGGGGATCGAACCCAGGTCAGCCGTGTGCAAGGCAAATGCCCACCCTGCTGTGCTATCGCTCCAGCCCCCCATCTTTTTTTTTACAGTCCCTCCTAGCATCAGGAACATTGTTATGGGTTTTACCTTATAATTCTTTTAAATCTTCTGGAGTCTGAAGATTGGTATGTAGATCTGAAATATATGTTTGAGAGATAAAAAAATAAATAAGTAAATAAAACTGTTGGCATGGACACCATATCAACTGCACCCAGCCACACAGCTTCTGGGCAACGCTCAGGAGGTCACCGGAAGCTCCCCCCCCCCCCACGAAGGTGCCTGTCACTGTTCACACACAGCTCGGCCTTCTTGAGGGTGCTCTGTGTTTGTGGCCCTGATGCATGGTTGGTTCCTTTCCGTGGCACAGCAGGATTGAAGGGCAAAGAGAAACGCCTGCGTTCCGGGCCTCTGCCTGGGCTCCAGGTCAGGCCCACGGCAAACACTCACACCCCCCAGCTAACACGGGCTAATGTTGGCGCTCCACACCTGGCTAGCTCACAGCGGAAACTCCCAGCCCTCTGCAAAGCATGCTTTCCACTTCCGGGTGGTTCAAACCACCCCCCGCCCCCAGTCGTAGCCCCAAGTGACTCTCCCATGGGACATTTCCAGATCCAGGCAGGAATATTTGCCGAAGCTTCTACAGCCTGAGTACTTGGAGTCTTGTTGATCACAGCCATTCTTGGGGGCTGGGGTCAGGCCCAGGGAGACAGCTGGGTAGGATGGCAGGGTGGGAAAGCAGAGGCTGGGAGACCCTAGGTCCCATCCTGGGCATTGCATGATGTCCACAGAAGCTCTGGGTCCCACCACTGGCATGGCAGTGGCCCCTGCCCCATGCCTGGCCTCACTAGGCCCCTGAGAACCACCATGAATGGACCCTGAAAAACCAACTGAACAGGGAATGCTGAGACCCAAAGGGGAAAAGCTTCCACACACCAAGGACAAATGGCATGTGGCAAAATGCTGTGTGCAGCAGTCTGTTGATTTACAAGCGTCTGCTAGATCAACTCCTTCCTTCCCTCCCTCCCTCCCTCCTTCCTTGCTTTCTCCTTCATTTCCTTACTTCCTCTCTTTCTCCCTGCCTTTCTTCCTCATTCTTTCCTTCCCCTTCCTTCCAACTTCTTCCTTCATCTTCCTCCCTTCCTTCTTCACTCTGCCTTCCTTTCCCTTCCTTCTTTCCTTCCTTTCCCTTCATTTCAACCTTCTTCCTTTCTCCCTTCCTTCTTTCCTTCCTTCTTTCCTTCCTCCTTCTTTCCTTCTTCCCCTCCTTCTTCCACTTCCTTTCTTCTCCCTTCCTACCTTCATCTTTTCTTCTTCCCTTCTCTTCCCCTTCCTTCATCTAGTTTCCTTTCTTCTTCATTCCTTCCTTTCAACCTTCCTATTTCTTCCTTCCTTCTTCCCCTTCCTTCTTCTTGTCCCATCCTCCCTTCCTCCTTCCTTCCCCTTCCTTCTTCTCCCTTCCTTCTTTCCTTCTTCCTTCTCCCTTCCTTATTCCTTCCTTCCTCTTTCCCCTTCCATCTTTCCTCTTCCTTCCTTCTTAGCACACCCAGCAATGCTAAAGGAACATTCCTAGTAGAGCTCAGGGGACCCTATGGGGTAGCACTGCACTGTAGCACTGTCCTGTCCTCCCGTTGTTCATCGATTTGCTCGAGCAGGCCCAGTAACGTCTCCATTGTGAGACTTCTTGTTACTGTGTTTGGCATATCGAATACATCATGGGTAGCTTGCCAGGCTTTGCCGTGCAGGCGAGATACTCTCGGTAGCTTGTCAAGCTCTTTTTTTAATATGTATTATTAATATTAATCACATAAAATGTGATTATGATTCATTCTTGAACACCAATGTCAAAAGTATGATGTTCAATGAAAATAATAAAAATATAAAATGGAAAGATTATCAACATAAAACACATTTTACTTTTTAAAATTAAAGGTATTATGTTAGGAGCGGTTAGAAAAGATGAAGTCATGAAATTTACATACAAGTGGTACTACATGGAAAGTATCATGTTAAGCGAAATGACTCAGAAAGAGAGGGATAGACACAGAAAGATTGCATTCATCTGGGGAACATAAAGTTAACAAAATAGGAGACTAACACCCAAGAGTGGCCGAGATTAGTACCAGGAATTTTGCTCCATGGCTTGGAGGCCAGCCACACATGCTAGGGGAAAAGGCAACTCAGATAGAGAAGGGAGCACCAAATAAAGGGTGTTGGGAGGATCCTCCCAGGATGGGAGAAGCATGCTGAAAGTAGACTATAGACCAAACATGATTGCCACTCAATGCCTCTTTTGCAAACCACAACACCCAAAAGGAGAGAGAGAACAGAGGGGAATGCCCTGCCACAGAGGCAGGGTGGGATGGGGGGATGGGGGGGTGGGAGGGATACTGGGATCCGTGGTGGTAGGAAATGGGCACTGGTGGGTATTTGATCATTGTATGATTGAAACCCAGGCACAAAATTTGTAAGTCTACAACTGCACCTCATGATGTCTCACTAACAAAAATTAAAAATAAATAAATAAATAAATAAATAGAATAAACGAAGAGAAAGGTAAATTTATAAACTACAAAGCTAACTTAAAATTTCTTTTTTAAAAAAATTTTTTATTAATGAAGCACCATGAGGTACAGTTGTAGATTTACAAATCTTTGTGCTTGGGTTTCGATCATACAATGATCAGATACCCATCCCTCCACCAGTGCCCATTTCCCACCACCATGGATAATATCCCCCCCCAACCCCCCCTCCCACCCTGCCTCTGTGGCAGGGCATTCCCTTTTGTTCTCTCTCTCCTTTTGGGTGTTGTGGTCTGCAAAAGAGGCATTGAGTGGCAAACATGTTCAGTCCATAGTCTACATTCAACATGCATCTCCCCTCCTGGGAGGATCCTCCAAACACCCTTTATTTGGTGCTCCCTTCTCTATCTGAACTGCCCTTTCCCCTAGAATACCCGGCTGGCCTCAAGCTATGGAGTAATCCGCCTGGTGTTGATCTCAGCTATTCTTGGGTATTAATCTCATATTTTGTTACTTTATATCCCCCAGATGAATGCAATCTTTCTATGTCTATCCCTCTCTTTCTGACTCATTTCGCTTAGCATGATACTTTCCATATTGTACCACTTGTATGTAAATTTCATGACTTCATCTTTTCTAAGAGCTACATAGTACTCCATTGTGTAGATGTACCAAAGTTTCTTTAACCAGTCATCTGTTCTTGGGCATTCAGGTTTCTTCCAGTTTCTGGCTATTGTAAAGAGTGCTGCAATGAACAAACAAGTGCAGATGTCACTTCGACTATACATTTTTGCCTCTCTGGGATATATTCCCAGGAGTGGTATCACTGGGTCAAATGGGAGCTCAATTTCTAATTTTTTGAGAAACGTCCATATTTTGGCTAGGGTTTTCATTTAAAATTTCTATTAAGATATTTTAAGAACAGATATAAAATATCATGTTCTAGAAAACGGTAAGGTGAAGGAACAAATAGCTTTACTCCAACTTATAACTGAAAGCCACAATTTTCATATTTTTCTACTTCCTCCTTTATCAAAACAAACATGCTTATTACCTAATTTTTTCATCTGGCTTATATACACAAATAACTTTTTGAAACACTTCATCTTATAAGAGGATCATGTCTACCATATTTACAAAAAAATATAAATTCAGATGTGAAACTAAAGAGAAAAGGTTATCGAGTTACCTAGTTATCTAGCACACTGAAAAGATAAATGCTAAACTATGTGATTTGGTCTCAGAAAATAATTGAAGAAAAATCAGGATAACCTTTCAAATTGATATTCAAAATATATTTTAGATATATATATATATATATATGAAGTAGAAAATATAAAATGTTGGTACTCTATCCATATGCAAGTTCTTACTTTCTCTTTGCCTAAATAGAACAGCACACTATGGAAAGTGGTGAGGATGACAACGACACAATGACAAATAGAAATGGGGTGCCAGGGATTAAATCTAGGTTGGCTGAGTTAGCACAAGAGAAGCTGCCTACCTGTTAGACTACCACTCTGACCTCAAGAGGTATTTTTCATGACCTTATGGGAAGCACTGCTGTTCTTACTGTGGCCAGCCACATACACAGAGGCTAGTGTGTACAATCTGAGTGCTGGGGTCCAGGCCCGAGCAAAAACCCATGAAGCCACGATGAGAGAAGACAGAGAGAGAGAGAGA